GGTTGTGCGTGTGGAAGAAAAAGGTGCCAGTTTTGTACCTTGACCTACATATGGTTTTGTGTCACCCAGTCCGAGTCTGCAGTGAAGAGTCCGTGGATGGGCATTTAGGTGGTTTCTACTTTTTGGCTCTTACAGGTGATGCTGCTGTGAACATTCGTGGATAAGTTTCTGTGTGAATGTATATTTTTGGTTCTCTTGGGCATGCACCTAGGCATGGAACTGCTAGATCACGTGATAGCTCTGTGCTCCACTTTCTGAGAAACCGCCAGACCATTTTCCACAGCAGCTGTGCCATTTTACTCTGTGATGGCTACTTTTTCCTGTGTCTTCAGGACAGTCCATCTTTTTCTGTATGTGTGTGTGTATCTTTGGTGGTGTTGGAGGTGGTGGAGATGTAAGAGCAATCATCAGATCCTCTTGTCTACATCCTCACCACTGTTGTTGGACCTCTTGAAAGGCGAGGTTGGCTTGTAGAAAGCTGATTTCCAGTGTGAGCAGTGATCACCGTCATTTTATCTTGGTTCTGTGTCTGAATCATTTATTGAATCAGCTGTCAGGACAATAGCCAAACAGAATCATTTAAGACTTAGGCAACAGATGTAACTGGAAGCACTAGAAGGAGACAGACACTCTGAAACCATGACTCACATGACTTGATAAGCAGCTCAGAATCACCCCTTCCCCTGGTGGGAGAGGACCCAGCAATAAGCAGCACTAAGGCAGGGTCTGGGCAGGAGTGTCCTTCCTCCGTTCTCTTCTGACATGGACACTTGTTAACTAGAGAGATAACCAGGAGGTTCTCTGTCATCAGACAGGTGGACTAAGGGGGCTGGGTTGAGGGTGTTCCATTGACCTACTGTCATATGAGAAGGAGGGAGGAGCGCCGTTTCACGATTACTTAATTGACTGGAAGAGAAGTGCTGGTATTTCTAGTTAGTGATTGGGATGATACTGTGTGTGGTGCCGTCTGGCTAAAAGGTGATCCTAGTTCAGGCCTGCAGACTATCGAATTTGGCTGAGTGGCAATTGCTCTGAGACAAGCAGGCAATAAGCCTTGCCTTCTGGATCATGAGACAGGTTCTGAGAGGCAGGGGTCATTGATGCATACCTTGTCGCTGAGGTAACCTGGTTAGAGCATCACTTTGCAGCCTCAGCACTAGAATTCTCCACTGTGGGGGCCTTCCTGTGTGTTGTAGGAGTTTAACAACTCTAGACTCTACCCATTAGAGAGGCCAGTAGCAGCCTGCCGAGTGTGACAATCGAAAATGTCTCCAGATATTGCCGAGTATCTCCTGGAGACAGTCAGCTTTCCCTAGCTTTCTAGATCATGAACTTAACTTTTCAGGTACATATACAGAAAGATTTACGATAATCTGTGATATTAGAGGTAATTGTTAAAAGAGATTTTAGGATCATTGAAGACATATTTTGTTTCTGTATTCCACGGGTATGGTTCTGACATGTTTGATTTAGTCCAATAACACAGAAGTCTTGCTAATTCAGAAAATTTGGTATGTATTATTTACAAACTATAGAAATGATCCCTGAAAGTATAGTCTTCTGAGTGTATTATTTATAATATGCTGTAGCGTTCATGCTGTAGATGAGATGTTCATAGAAAACAGGTCCAGGATGAGCAGTAGAGACTAATGTATTGAACGTGTAAATTGTAACCCTGTTGTTACTGTTGTTGTTAATTTATTTTTAAACAACTTTACTGAGATAAAATAATGCACTCTGCAATTCGCCAATTTAAAGTATACACTTTGATGGCTTTAATATATTCATAGGGTCGTGCCTCCATTTCCACAGTCCATTTTGAATCATTTTTATCACCCTGATAAGAAAGGAAGAAACCCCACTAACCTGAGCCCTCACTCCTCAATACTGCTGTTCCCCAAGCTGTGGGCAACCACTGATTGGCTTTCTGCCTCTGGATTTGCCTGTTCTTGGCATTTCATATGGTCGAAACAGAGAGTATGTGGTCCTCAGTGCCTTTCTCTTAGGGTGGTGGTTTCGAGGTGTGTCCATGTCGTTCCTTTGTATGGCTGTACGGCTCTACCCATTTATTCATTTATCAACTGATGGATGTTTGGGTTGTTTCTGTTGGTTTGTTATGATGAATAATGATGCTGTGAACATTTGTGTACAAACTTTTGTGTGGACATGTGTTTTCATTTCTCTTGGATGTGCAGTAGGGGTGGACTTGCTGGGTCAGATGATCATATGGTTTTAACCACTTGACCAGCAGTGTCTGAGGGCATCAGTTGCTCCAGGTACTAATCAGTATTTTTTTAACTAACTTTTTGATTGTGGCCATGCCCAAGTGGGCATGAAGTGGGATCTTACTGTTTTTTTTTTTTTTTTTGTAAAGATTTTATTTATTTATTTGAGAGAGAGAGCATGAGCAGGGAGAGGGAGAAGCAGACTTCTCCCTTGGGGGACCACCCAGGCATCCCCCAATGTTCTTTTAAAAGTAATCTCTTCTCCCAATCTGGGGCTTGAACTCATGACCCTGAGATCAAGAGTTGCATCCTCTTGTGACTGAGCCAGTGAGTGCTCCTCAATTCTTTGTATCTTTAACACCACACATAACTGACACCAGATTCATTTCTTAAATTATATAATTACTGTGGTAACTTATAGAAATATCTGTAAAAATTTTAAAGAAAAATAAACCTAGAAAACATAAGTACATTTTTTGGCAATCCTTGATCATCTTGGAGTTGCCTCCTAAGTGTTCCAAACAGATGGATGAATGGGGGGGCTGTGCAGGAATTTAGTCATATTTATTTTACTTTGTAGTTTTCTCTTTAGTTATTGATACCCAGTGAAGTATAGGCTTGGCATTTGCTATCTGATTACAGGGCACATGGTACAGGACTTTATTTACCTGTACCATGTTGTGTTTTTGTTGTGTTTTGTTGGGTGCTGTTGCCTGTTGAGATACAGTAGGTTTTTTACTCTGTAACTTTTCTTTCAGTGATACTTTAGTGATGTCCTGTTCTCTATTATAACAAACCACCTGAACTTGAGGTCTTTAACCTGGGATGGTCACTTACTTTGCTTATGCTCTTGCAGTTTGCTCAGGGCTTGGCAGGGGTGACTTGCTGCTGCTCTGCAGCATGTGGGGCCTCAGTTGGGGTGTCTCAGAGTATGGAGGGCTGGAACAGCGGGGGGGCTGGTGGAGGCTCTCTCCCCTCACGTAGTCTCAGGGCTTCTCACTGTATCCTCTTACTGTGGTCTCTGCATCATGGCAGCCTCAGGATAGTTAGGTTTCTTTCTTAGTGACTCTGGGCTTCTAGAGAAAGTGGCAGGAGACCAAGGTAGCAGCCATCAGGCTTCTTCCCACCTTGCCTTGAAAGTCATAGTGTTAGTTCCACTGCATTCTGCTGTCACACTTGAGTGTGACAGGGACCAGTCCAGGGTTTGCTTGCTGGAGGCATGATTTGTGGAGAAGTCATCTCTGGAAGCTGGCTACTAAAGGACGTAGCTAGATGTAGGTTTTTCTGTGGGGTTTCCAGGAGGTGGTCTGCTGTAGTTACAGGAAGAAGGCTTTCCTCTGAAAAATTGCCTTAAAATAACTTTTATGGGTTTATGATGCCAAATGCTTAAAGGTTAAGTTTCCCTGCAAGTGTTTCTTTCTTAAAATTATAGTGTGTCATATACTAGAAAATATAAGTATCAGGTTCAAGTTCATTGAAGAAGGTAAGATCATGTCAGTGAAGGGTCCCATCTTCAGTAAAATTATAGCTGTTGTGAAATTATATACCAAATAACACAGCACTGATTTATGAGGCAAAATTTGCTGGAAAGGCAAACAGAAGCGGGAAAAAATCTGTTATGTTTTAGAGACTTAATATACCTCTTTTTATTCTTCTCAGTCCAGATAGTCAAAAATAAATAGGCATGCTGAGCATTGATTTCATAAATTTAGTCTGGTAGCATAGATAAAAGTTTATATTTTGCCATCAAATTATAATTAATAAAAGAACTAGTAAGTGATAAAATTCATCCTCCATTCTTGATAATTATTAGCAAACTGAAAGTTGAAGAAAAGTTCCTTAAACTTGTAAAGGGTATCTACGAGGATCACACACACAGCAGACACCAGGTTGACCTGTGAACTCCTGGAAGCATTCCTGTTGAAATCCGGAGGATGAAAAGGCTGCTGCCGCCCTGCTTTTCTTCCAGTTTGGCCTGCTCCTCTGAGTTAGGCATTTTAGTTCCTGTGAATCATGCTTTATTGTTAGACCCAGCTAAAGAAAAGTCTTACCAACATGCACATAAATACACTTGGAGCATTGCTATAACCTTACGGGTGTTTGGTAGCGTTGATAGAGCCTGTATTAACGGCAGCAGTGTCCCATGGGAGCAAGTGGGATTACCTGGTCTGATCTCCATGCTGGTTTTTCAGGCCCTCAGGCATGAAGAAACATGATACTTGCTGACCCATAATAGAACGTAAAATTTAGAAAAAGAGCCTTTTCAGGATTAGTGTTCATATTCTTTTTTGATCTCATGATTTCAATTTACTATTGTGGTTCAAAGTCATTAAGGATTTCTCTCCCAGGATTGAAAGTGGGTTTTAGTGTCTTTGGTCCCAGATAAAGTAACATGCATCCACCTTCTGTTTGAACCCTGACTACCCGTAGCTGTTTAATCCACTATTCTGGAGCATGGTATCCATCTGCTGTGCTGTGGTCAGGTTGCAGACAAATTTAGATTCCGTGCTCTATTCCGCTCCCAAGGCATCTGCTAATCACAGAGGACATTACTCAGTGTCCTAGTAACTGTTGTGGTTGTCAGTTACTCTCTCTGGGCTGTCAGCTCTGTGGATGACACTGTTTGATGGTACCTTGTGGGCTATTCTGTATTTTCATTAGGTCTGTTAAGAGAAAAATAGCAAAAAATACTCAGGCAGAAAAAAAATACTCAGGGTTTTCTGAACTCTGAAGTTAACATTGATTTTGATGCTTTGTTTTATCTTTTTGTTGCAGATGTTGCTGCCATAGCATGTGGTCGAGAATTCTTGGTTAACTCAAGTCGGGTGCTGTTGGACACCATACTGCAGCTTCTGGGAGACTTGAAGCCAGGACAGTGTACCAAACTCAAAGTGTACGGTGGATGATATTAAAAAGCTCATGGTTGTTTACTTATTAGTTAGAATTTGCTGATTGGGCTTCTTTTTCAAGTAAACACAGTTAATTTGGTAATAGTTCTAAAAAAAAAATAGAAGAAATACATTACCTGGAGAATTGTGGGATGCACTCTTTATTCAGTACTATTTTAGAAAAATAGTAAGAAACAAAAAGAATGTTCTCACCTTAGAGCAATCAGTGAGTCCGAAATGCTATTATATGACACTTAGGTTATATTAGTTAGCTGAAAACAAACTTACAGGTATTTGTTATAACGGCATCCTGCTTCCACATAACAAAATCTGTGTTCAGTTTCTACTGGGTAGCAAACCTAGTGGCTGACAAACACCTCCTTCACAGTTCTACAGGTGGGAAGTCTTGGTGGTGGGGGGGGTTCCTCACCTGGGTTCTCTGACTAGGGTTTTGCATGGCTGAGATCGAGGGGTTGTCCATGCTGGGTTCGTCTCCAGAGATTCTGGGCAAAACTGTGCTTGCCGGCACATTCCAGTTGCTAGCAGATCCCACCTGAGGCCGTGTTTCCCCGCTGGCTGTCATGTGGGGCTTGCTTAGCTTCTGGGTTGATCGAGTTTCTGATCATAGGAGCCACCCATCTTCCAGCTCCAACCGCCCACTGAATCCTTCTTCCATTTGGAAACTCTTGGACTTTCTTTTCTGCTACCAGCTGGAAAAAAGGCTCTGCTTTTGATAGGCTCATGGGTTTGGGTTAGGCATCACAGGATAAACTCCCTTTTGATGAACTCACCTGATTAGTGACCTCAGTTAGGTTTGCAATGACTCCCTACCATATAACTTAGCACAGCCAGGGTGTTATGTTCTGTGTCCAGCCCTGGGGATTAGGGCGGGAGATGTTGGCCATTTTAGGCCTCTGCCTACCACACTGTTCATTCTGACTGGCTGGTTTCCTCCTTGGAAGATTGCTTATAATAATAGCTTCTTTAAAGTCTTTGTCAGATATTGACATCTTGGGCAGGTGTCTCTTTTCCCATGTGAGTTGGGATTTTTCCCATCTCTTCGTGGACTGAGTAATTCTGGGTTGTATCGTGGACATTTGAGCCCCTGGATCATGTTTGAACTGTGAAAAAGGCTGATGTTTTTGTTTGATGAGGCAGTCAGCCTGGTTGGGTCCAGGTCACAGGCTCAGAGTAGCCATTGTGCTTCCAGTGTCACTTCCAGTTTCAGAAAGCCTTCGCCGGCTGTGCCCCTCCTCTGCGCCATCTGTGCCAGCCTGAGAGACCTGGGTCACCACTGCCAATTTACTTCTCTGGCTGGGATGTGCTCTTTGTGGTGAGAATCACACATGCCCAGCTTGACGTGAGGCCAGGGGTTCTCAGCAGCCTTGTGGGGTCACCTGCATGATCTCTTAACTCCCCACAGTGTGCTTGGTGCATGTTAGTCACCCAGGGCCCCCTGCCAGCCCCTCACCTGGAGTGCTGGCATGTGCCCTGCTCTATCCTGTGCTTCTGCAGCTTCCAGAGGTGAGGGAGATTTCCTTCCCACACAGTGGGGATGACGTAGGTGCCCTTCTTGCTGCAGAGCCCCTTCCTACTGCTCTCCTGGTGCATGCTCTGTGCGAGCCAGTGCTACTCCTGGGCTTCAGGGCTGAGTGGTAAACTTGCTGTGGGGCTGCTGGTTCTTAGACTTCTGGACTACTTCCCAGGCTGCCTGCTACTGTTTACTCTTCAGGGGCTTCATGTAGCTGCTCCCTGTATTCCATTCAGAATTCAGGGCTACATTCAGTGGGAGTAAGAGGGTGGGGTGTGTTTTTTCCCATCTTATCTGGAACCAGATTCTCGAGTCTGTTCTTATTTTTTGTACACACAAATACATGTCCATGAGCAATCTGTAATATACCATAACATATAGCTTATATAGTTTTATGTATGTTTTTACACATTGTGGATCTAACTTAATTAGATTAAATCAATTAATCTAATTTCTGTTAATAATCTAATTTCTGTTAATTTCTTTTAAGTATTTTACATTAAAGGAGGCGTAACATGAATTATCCCTGACCGATGGACACTAGCTTGTTTGTTTGTTTATTTATTTATTTTTAAGATTTTATTTATTCCTGAGAGGCAGAGAGGGAGAGAGAGGCAGGCAGAGACACGGGCAGAGGGAGGAGAAGCAGGCTCCATGCAGGGAGCCCGACGTGGGACTGGATCCGGGGTCTCCAGGATCACTCCGTGGGCTGAAGGCAGGTGCTAAACCGCTGAGCCACCGAGGGATTCCCTGGACACTAGTTTACATTCAGGTTTTACTCGTCACATGTAACAGTGTGTAGAACATCTGTGGCAGAGATCTCCTTGCTAACCTGTGTGAGTGCTTCTCCAGGAGTTGTCCCTAAAGTGTGATATTTGAGAAGGAAGGAATAACACTTTCAGGTTGGGTAAGATGCCAAATGGGCCTCCAGAGTGTGCACTTCCACCCACACGGCAGTGGTATTCTGGGTCTCCCACAGCCTCCTCGGTGCTTCGTTATTTTCTACCGTCTTATAAAGAATGCTTGTGTTGTGTACATCCATCTGTCTGCCTGTCTCTAGATGGATATTACCAGTGAAGTTGACACTCTTTGCACATGTTCATAACAGTTTTTTCCCCTGTGAATTACCTGTTCATGTCTGTTGCTTGTTTTCTTTTGGGTTGTAATTTTCATGACTTGCTTTGGATGTGTTCTGGATATTACATCATTGTCTGTCTCGCTTCTGTGGTCTGTACAAAGTCAGTGTTTATGGGGCCAGTCAGCGCCCTGCTGCACTTCCGAGGCAAGGCTTTGTTGGGGGCTGCGTCTCGTCTCTGTCTTTGTGATTCCAGCACATGGAGCTCTGTGCCTTTGCATCTGAGGAAGTCCTTGACCTGCAGTGGGAGATAGGCAGACTTGGGTTCAGAGATGTTTGCTTGCTTTCTTGGCTTTTCCATCTGACAGGGAGCAGAGCCCATGTATGGACTGTTCTCCTCAGACCCCATTTGGGATCTCAGCATGTGAACTCTACCTCTGAAACTAATGATGTACTACTAGATGTTGGCTAATTAAATTTAAATTAAAAAACAGTGATGATATAAATTAAAGAAAGACAAAAAAAGATTAAATTTTTTTGGAGCAGTTTTAGTTTCACAACAAAATTTAGAGGAAGATACAGAGATTTTCTATATACTCTTTACCCCCACACATGCATTGCCTTTTCCACTATCAACATCACTCACCAGAATGTTTTGTTTTGTTTTTGCCAACAATGAACCTATGTTGACACGTCATAATCCCGTAATCACCCAAAGACCATGCTTTACGTTTACTCTTATGGTTGCGTATTCCGTCGATTTGAACTGATATGTCATAACATACCGTTCATGAGTGTAGTACCATACAGAGTGTTTTCACTGCGTTGCAGATCTGTCATGTTCTGCCTGTTGGTCTCTTCCCTCCCTCAGCCCCAGGCCACCCCTGACCCTTCACTGTCCCCACAGATGTGTGTCTTCCAGAGTCATGTGGCTAGAATCGCACAGTATGCAGCCTTCTCACACTGGCTTCCTCTGTCACTTGGTCACATGCACTCACAGTCCCTCCATGTCTTCTTGTGGCTTTGAGTTTTGAGAGTTCTTTGTATATTTTGGATAATATTCCTTTAACAGATGTGTCTTTTGCAAATGCTTTCTTTCATGCTGTGACTTGTCTTCTTAGTTTCCTGACATGGTCTTTCACAGAACAGAAGTTTTTAATTTGAATGAAGTCCAGCTTATCAGTTATTTTTTTCCCCACAGATCTTGGTGTTGTGTCTACAGAAGGCATCACCGTATGCGTCGTAGATGTTCTCCTGTATTATTTCCTGGGAGCTTTATAGTTTTGCATTTTACATTTAGGTCTGTGATTCACTTTGAGGTGATTTTTGTAAAGCATGTAAGGTTTGTGTCTAGATTCATTTGTGTGTGTGTATGTGTGTGTGTGTGTGTGTGTGTACATCCAGTTCTAGTGCCACTTGTTGAAGAGACTCTCTTTGCTCCCTTGTGTTGCCTTTGTTTCTTTGTTAAGGATCCGTTGACTATATGTGTGTGGGTCTGTCACTGAGCTGTATTCTGTTCTGTTGATCTGTTTGTCTCTTCTGTCACCAGTATCACACTGTTTTGATCATTATAGCTTTATGGTGAGTCTTGAACTCAGGTAGGTTGGTCCTATAACTATGTTCTCCTTCAATACTGTGTTGACTATTCTGGGTTTATTCCCTCTCCGTATAAACTTAGAATCAGTTTGTCAATATACATAAAAGAACTTGCTGGGATTTGGATTGGGATTGCATTGAACCTATAGATCAAGTTGGGAAAAGCCGACACTTTGACAAGATTGAGTCTTCCTATCCATGAAAGTGGAATCAAGCTATCTTATCTTTTCCTTTTTATTTTTTTTAAGAGTTATTTATTTATTAGAGAGGGAGAATGAGTGAGGAGGGGCAGAGGGAGAGAGACACTCCAGCACTGAGCTTGGAGCCTGACACAAGCCTCGATCTCACAACCTGAGCTGAAACCAAGAGTCAGATGCTTAACCAACCAACTGTGCCATCCAGAGGCTCCAATCTGTCTTCCTTCCCTTCCCTTCCTGTTTTTCTTTCTGTCTTCCATTTATTTAGTTCTTTGGTTTAATTCCTCAGAGTTTTATAGTTTTCTTCATACAGATCTTATGCATGTCTTATTAAATATGTACCTGAGTATTTAATTTTTAGGGGGTGCTAATGTGAATGGTATTGCATTTTTAATTTTAAATTCTACTTGTACATTGTTGGTATATAGGAAAGCAGTTGACTTTTGTATGGTTACCTGGTATCCTGAAGCCTTGGTATAATCTTATTAGTTCTAGGTTTTTGTGGTTGATTCTTTTAGATTTTCTACATAGACAATTAAACGTCATCTGTGAACAAAGTTTTATTTCTTCCTTCTCAATCTGTATACCTATTTTTAAAAGATTTAT